TATATATATATATATATATATATATATATATATATATATATATATATATATATATATAGTACTCATTGACAAAAACAACAACAATATAACCGGCATTATTTTACAAGTGGGATATGGAAAGAGTATCCCCCAATTCATCAACTTATCTCTTGTTGCATCTGCCATGAGCTGCCAATCTCAGGATGAATATCCATTTAGGGGTGTACACAAATCTTATCTCTACCTTCTGTGCATAGAGAAGTTGTTTTTGATAGGCCCTCTACTAGGGGAGTACATAGGTCTGGTTCGAATTTTTTTAATAACCAAATCAAACTAGTGGTGTCGGATTTGTAAATCTATAAACCAAATCAAAAAGCAAAGTCGGGTTTCAATCTCGATTTTTTTCGGGTTTTCGGTTTATTTTGGGGTTTTCCTAATAAATTCTTCATACCACAAAATTAGTAACTTGTGCTCCAAATATTTCTTTAATCCTGGTAGGATACAACTATATGATATATTTTCAAGAAAATAACACAATAATATGAGATGAGTCATAGCATTGTATTAAAATATTCATTAACAAAGATAACAAAAGGGCGTAAAATAAATATTGCCAATCAATAAGTTATAATAAAAATGAACATAATCTAGAAGTATTGTATATGTCATGCTAAAAAACCAAAGTAGAAGGAACATCAAGTAATATAAAAAATCACGTACTCCCTCCGTCTCATATTATCAGTTGTGGTTACTAAAAATAGTTGTCTCAAATTATTTGTCACTTTAGAAGTAATTCAAGACAAATTGATTATCTTTTTCCTTTTTTACCCTTTGTAATAATTATCCTTGAAGACCACAAACACCTCAATTATGGATAACTTTGTTCAAATACCAATGAAGAAAGGTTAAATATTAAAACATGAATAAGGATAAAGTAGTCAAAATTTCATCCTAATTAATTTTTCTTAACGTGCATGTACAAGAGATTCATGACAGATTAAGACAGTAAGACTAATATTTTTTGAACCCTAGCAAATTCCGTAACCGCTGCCACTGTCTCTGTCCTTCGGGTGAGCACCGTATGCGTGCCAGGTTATATTGAGTGTGAATAAATTTTACCATAAGCAAGTGTGGATACAAGTACTGTGGCAGCAGCTAGGCCACCATTGCTCTTACTTCAAGATCATCGATCTTTGTTGAATAGAGAATAGATAGAGAAATGACTTTCTTGCTCAGAGTCTCTCTTTCCCTAATTTCTAAAACATTCCAAAGCATTAATATCTCTCTCTCTCCAGTCTCGCCCCCCTCGTCCGCTTCAACATAAAGCCAAAGGAAAGGTCACTTAATAACCAGATGACTCCGATCCCACCCACTCACTCTTTCCATCATAACACCAAAACTATTCCCTTTCTCTATAATCTACAATTCCCCTGTTATATATATATATATATATATATATATATATATATATATATATATATAATTATATTGAGCAAATTGCACTAAGCACTCAACACATTTATGCATATTCATTTTAGGTGATAAAAATGAGTTCGAACTTTAATACTTTCATGTTCTCATTTAGTTGTCACGATAAGCTTTTACACGCCCTTTAAAAATATATTAATAAGAGAGTAATTTGAATAATTTGATAGTTATTTAATCTTTGACCACATTAATATATCTATCTTCAGTATATAAGTGAACTCTATTTATATGCCTCTTAATTCTAAAACAACTAATGCTAAGGATGCAGCAGGCAGTTTGTCACTTACATCATGAATTACGGTGTAACTTATTGATGGAATGTATGCCAGCTCAATATCGTCCTAATTTTTATCGATTATGTCTCGAAGGATATGGAATATATGTAAATTTGCCAAGTAAGAGATATACTTCAATCTCCAACAAAATTGTTTTGGTGGAATATAAAAAGGATAAACCTTTTGTTTCTTCTTTGGTTATATTCCATAACTAAGTTGTGTTTGGCTTCTTCCCATTTACCTAATTACTGCATTTACGTTTACACATATTACATGATAAAAACATTCCCACGTTTCAATTTAAGAAAAAAGAGAAGATTTTTGAACTTGTAGTGCAAAATGATACAAAATGAGGCTCATATATTTCGTTTGGCTATAAATCATTGCATAAGGTAAATTATTCTCAAAAATAATTTATTTATTTATTTATTTGCGCAGAATAAAAAAGAAATTTATTTACATAAATTGAAACGGAGAAAATATTAAGTATCACAAGTCGATATTTGTATCATATCATTGAATGCACAATGTGTCTCAAATAAATTTATATCGCTTAACCATATATATATATATATATATATATATATATATATATATATATATATATATATATATATATATATATATTCTCACATTAATTTATGATTCTTAACTTAAGTATTTATCTAGTTTAATGCAAACACCGGTCCGAATAAACAGAAGCAGAGCTACAATATTAGCAATGGGTAACTTTCTGTAGATGCTGTATTTATGTTAGAAAATTTGTTTATATATATAATTATGAACGGAATAACTAAAACGAACTATGAGTTATCGCTCCTCTAACGATAGATATTTTTCTCTTATACCACTACAGCACTCTTAACATTACTATACCAATCCGTACACCCACTACTTCTCTCACTCACTTCTCTTTAACCCCCCCACTCCCATCCTATCAATCCGCTCATCTCTCTGTGTGTTTCTTTTGTACCCTTTCTTCCTTTTATTTCTTTCTCTCTAATTGAACCAAATATTATCTTTACCTCTTCAGTAGGCTTTTTCTTCCCCCTTTACGCTTTATATATTTTTCTGCTTAGAGCCTCTTTTTGTCTTTCACTCTTCAATTCTATAACTTCACTGCTTATATTCATGTTTCTTGATTAGGATATACCTTTCTCCTCCTCCTCTTCTTCTTTAGCTTGTTTTATTCTCCTCCTCTTCGACCAAAAACCTAAAAAACTAAATAACTATAATGTCACTCGACATGACATCTTCGATTTCCTCGGAACGTGTTTGTTACGTGCACTGCAACTTTTGCAACACCATTCTTGCGGTAATACTACTTCTATAATTCATCCAACTTCTTTCAATTTGATTTTATTCACTTAATTACAAAGGTTTTCAACCTTTTGAAGTTGCTTTTACCATGCATGTTAGCCACACCAAAATTGAATTATAGGGCTAATTTAAGATGTATGTCGTTGAAGAAAACTCTTCTCGAGTATTTTGTAACTTTTACTCAATATTTTATGTTAATTTTTACTAGATTTCACTTGGGACAGAAAAAATAAAAGTACTTTTGTTTGTTAGGAGTCTTTATTTGTTAGAATAATCTTGAAAATTAAACTTCTAATGGGAATTGGGAGAAAAAAATGAAGAATTGTGATCCAATGATACCCTAATCCCATTCAAAACCCTGGATGATGAATCCAACAAGTCGGTAGGAAAAAAAACGTTGTTGTTTTTATTTTAGTTTGCAAATAATTATTTTTCTCTCCAAAAATTCACACATCTGATTCGTACTTCTTCACTGGTCACAAATAATTGTACTACTAATTTTGATGCCATTAGATATCTTCCCTGCAAATGAGAAAAAAAAAAAGATGGTGGGGTTTTCTGTTCACACATTTCGACGCATTTTCCCACTGAATAATCAACTCAAGATTTTTTTTTTTATTTTCATATTTTCTTTTCCAATTCTTGGGATAGCATTTTGTTTCTATTGTTCAAGAGTATCATGGTGAAAGCAAGTACTAATGTTTTATTTACTCTTCTTCCTCCTGTATTATAGCCTTTTAATCTATGGATACATAAATAGAATTGAAGTTCTTTATTTGAATGAATTTAAATAAGAATAGATTATATAGTTTGATCTTAGTTTTGCATCCTCTACAATTTGTATCATATTTAATTTCCTTATATTTTTATTTAGATGTTTTGATGATTCCTTGTAATGGACTGTGATTTCTGTTCTAGTCATGTCATTTTCCTTGTTATCTCTCTCTTTCTCACTTTTCTAGTGACTGAGCAAAGTCAGAAAAAAGTCAGAAGCAACAAAAGAAAAGGGATTAAAGAGATAAAAGAATAAGATGGAGAAAACTGATCTTTGATTTTTGCAATGTGAAAAAACTATACTAACAAACTCCAACCCATAGAGGAAGCTTATTACTACGTGAAAATACAGAATTGAGTCTTCTTCCTTCTTATGATCGTTTGATTTAGTCTTAGTTGATCGTTTGATGCACCTGTTATCTCCTCATTCTACGACGTGTTATTGTAAGTACAAAGGTGAATTAAAGATAAAATGATGAGTTCAAGGTTTTGAGTTCCTTGAAAATACTGTGTTTAAACATAATATTTATACTAATTTTAAGAACTTTCACATAGGTCTAATAAATAAGAAATTGTGGTTCAATTATATTAAACCCCTCCCTTATACTCCCCCCTCAAACTTTTAGCCTCCGACAAAGTTTTCTCCAAATTGTGTCAATAACGTACACACTTCCTCAAACTCTTAGCCTCCTCATTCTTCTTCCATTTTGGGATGATTTTGTGACAATGTGAGCAAGCTAGAAAGAAGTCTATAGCTAGTTTAGTAGAAAGTTGACAAAGTGTGTATCACTATTTGCAATTATTAGTTTCTTTTTATTGCAAATGGCCGGTAAATATAGTAAGTACAATTGGTAAACTTATCAGTCCTTTCTTGTTCTCGAGAATATGATATAAAACTTTTGTTCCATTAATGAATATTGTTTTTTTTTCAGGTTAGCGTTCCATGCAGCAGCATATTTGCTGTAGTTACAGTAAGATGTGGGCACTGCGCTAATTTGCTTAGTGTTACTATGCAATCTTCACTTCAGGCTCTCCCCCTTCAAGATCCACAGGTAACTAAATAATACTGTATTTCATCTGTTTCATTTGATGTGACACTCTTTTCTTTTTTAGTTTATTTCGAAAAGAATGAATATATATAATTTAACTTTATGCTTGTCATTTGAATCTTATTAACATTATTCTATAGCCACGTAACGTCATGGCATATTTAGGAGCATAAATTTAAAAAATATATCTTTTATTTCATAACCATTTGTACCAAGTCAAATAGCTTCAAATAAAATAACATGGAGGGGGGTAATTATTTCAAAATCTTTTGGTTATGTGTTTCTTTTTGGTTTATTTCCTTTTGTAGTCAAACAAGAAAGTGAAAAATAGTTTAGAGAAACCAATTTACCTTTCTCCTAGTTAATTACTCTTTCTTTGGCTCATTCATAATCTCTTCAACTTTGATTTATTTTAATTTTGTTTAACAAAAATAGTGTTAGTATCCTCCATTTTCAGTACTTCTAGTTTCTCCGTGATTATTCCAGCCTTTTGGTTCAAAAATCATCTTGGAGGAATACAAAGTATCTGAATTAATAAATGGAATCACCGCAATTTACTTTTAGGTCAAGTTTTTTACATATAACTTAGAAGGAGAAACTTGGAGCAACGGTAAATTTGTTCCTGTACAACCTATGGGTTCGAGCCATAGAAGCAGCCACTAATGCTTGCATCAGGATAGACTGTTTTACATCACACCTTTGAGGTACGGTTCTTCCCCGGACCCTGCATGAACACAGAATACCTTGTGCGTCGGGCTGCGCTTGAAGTCTTAAAGTACTACTATATAGATTCAAGCTTCAACATTTCAGTTTTGGCTAATCCCACAAATATATAGGGATGGATTTTTTCATCACTTTTTGTTGGTGGGGTAGGAGAGTTTTTTATAATGATCATATGTTTTTTCTTTTTTTATCTGACAGAAGCAGCAAAGACAACAGTCAAATGTTGAAAATGGCAGTAAAGCCTGCGGGTCATCATCTTCTTCCAAGTGCAACAGATTTTCTGCCACTGATTATTCTCCTCAAATTGGACCTCGAATCTCTCCTATTCGCCGTGAGCGCTCTCTCTCTCTCTCTCTCAATAAATCGCTACACATTTACATACATATTTGACTTTTTATTAAAGAGTTTTAGCTTCAATACATTGGCAGTATAAATAAATTTTATACCATCAAACCACTTAAAAGATAACTATAAATAACGCTCCATAATAAATTGCACTAATAGCACAAAAAATAAGTAGGATAATCTGTTGCAACAGGTCAATATACATCCATAGTGTAATAAAAATCTTACATTGTCTTAATTGAAGGCATAATTAAGTAATTAAAAGCAAGCTACCTCTAAATACTTAAGCTTTTAATTGACATTATTAGATAAGGCAAAAGTCTTGAGTTCGAATCTCACACCTCCTATCATAAAAATTTCAAAGAGCATAGTAAAAAATAGAAAAAGTGAGACTTGAGGTAAAATAATGTATATATAAATTCACCCTTACAGTAGGGGACCAAACCATTGTTTGACAAAAGTGGTACAAGTGACCAACTGTGCAAGAAGAACGATAACAATTCTGATGAAGAAGGTATCAATCTCTTTAAACCAAATGAGAGCGATCAGTCAGACTCCAATGAAACTTCCAGCTTCACTTATGACATCTCAAGTTTGATAATGACATTACACTTGCATCCAACTCACCACTAGCACCAGAATCTTGAAACATATGTTAAGTATTTCTGGAGCCCTAGCATCTTTTTTCACTAAAGGTCTTTTCTTGATTAGGTTAGTGAGATGCTACTATACATGCAATATCCCAGATTTTCGTGTGCTATAGCCCACGCTTTCCGCATGAGCCCGGGTCCCCGGACAAGGACCGCCTAAAATTTTTCCGGTCTCATTCCTGCATTTTAATTTCTGTATGCATAAATGCTAGTGAACTAAACGACCCCTAAATGTTTATATTTTTTTTGTGTGTGTGTATATTATATATACACACACTAAGTGGATATATGTACATGATCCAACAAAATATACAATCGTCTATAAGGTCTTCTGAATTAGAGAATAAAATGATGGATAGGGAGCTTCTATATGTATACAGATCGCTTCTGAGTTTAATTTGAGAGAATAAATTATGGTTAGGGGGCTTAAGAATTCTCAATTTTTGATAACTAGTACCACTTGATAGAGTCGAAAGTTGTGAAAACTAGTACTAATAAGTACATATCTGCAATTTTTTAGATCAATGCATACTACCACATATTTCTCAAGTGCAAGTTATCCATTTAATGTCATAGCTCAGGAAAATGGGAATATCATAACAATTGTGCTTAAGTCCCAAATAAGTTGGGATCGGCAATATGATCCTGACTTCCCATTTAAGCGATCAAGTACAAAATAACCTCAATAAAGTGCACAAAATTTGAGATTTCTGGTTTGCATACTGCAAACGATGTGGTCGAAAGTTTCCTTATAGTAATGACATGAAGACATTACTTTCTTAATTTTGTTAGGAAATATGTCTAACTCTACCTTTTTTCCTATCTCAAACCATGCAGCACCGGAGAAAAGACAACGTGTTCCTTCTGCTTACAACCGATTCATCAAGTAAATTGATTTACTTTTATATTGTTGCTGTGTTTTCGACATAAATCTGAAGCTAAGAAAAATAATAAACAACTCAAGAGCAATTCAAGGCGATATTTTACCATAATATTAATTCAGTAGATGTTAAGATTTTATCGTGTTAATTCATGTACTAATTAAGTGTACATGTACATATGTGTTGTGTTTTAATGTGTAGGGAAGAGATCCAAAGGATAAAGGCAAGCAATCCTAATATTACTCACCGGGAAGCTTTTAGCACTGCTGCCAAAAATGTAAGATAATGTTAAGATTTCTATAGATTGAGAATTGGAAACTGTATTATATGTAACTTTTCTATGTGGATTATCTGATTAGTTTGAACGAGTTAGAGGGAATGAAAGGAGGAGGAATATAGGGTATGTTTTAAAATATATATATATATATATATACAAAAGACCAATAAGGGCAAAAAACAAAAAATAAAACCCAAAAATACATAGAAAGTTTGAACGAGTTAGAGGGAATGAAAGAAGGAAGAATATAGGGTATATGTTTTAAAGTTTATACAAAAAGACCAATAAGGGCAAAAAGCAAAAAAGAAAATAAAACCCAAAAATACATAGACCATAAAAAGAATAGAACTATGAGTAGTGGAAAAAAGATACTAAGCCAAACACTATGCACCTAGCCCTCAAATGAAAAACTGAATTTCTTGCTCAACAATGTAAAACAACCACTAGATCTCTCTTAATCAATTTACTTAATTTCTTCCTTATTTCACTTTCTTTAATTAAATGCTTTGTTAATGTTCGGATTGTCAGAGAATGTCTACACTTGTCCCCTTATCTGTTGTGTAAGGGATCTAAAAGGGGTTTATAATAGTCCTGGACTACTTCACCCATTTCCTTAAATTTTTTGATTGGATATTCAGATTCTTTTGCACACAAGGGCAAGAACTCCTTAAAATCCCATATAAGATATTGTCAGGTCGTGTTATGGTACTCATTATTGCTACCTAAGCAAATGAAAACATGTATAATAAATTTGATAAAAATGAGAAGAAGCAAATACTATATATACTCTTGTTAGATGACTATGACTAAGATTCTATTTTAGGACATGCCATTAATTGAATAAGAAAGTATTAGGACAACTTTCTTGGTTTTAGCTTTATTAATTCTTAGTTTTAGTGAGCTTATGAATTTTATTAGTTGCTATAAAATGAAGAAAAATGAATGCATAAAGGTGGTCTTTGGTGATTTTAATGATTGATATAATTTGTTTCTTCAAAAAGCCAAGTAGGAGGGAAAAAAAGACAAGTAATAAAACAATATGGTGAAATGAATATAATTAACCTGTTACATGTGGGGTTTTTAAGCTGTCCACAAGAAAATGCATGGTAGGGACAAAACAGGGATGGTCACTAAACAGAAAAGAGAGATCTGAAACTACATCTTTCTCAAGATTTTATCTTTTGGTATTTGCTAAATTTTGCAGTGGGCACATTTCCCTCATATCCACTTTGGACTCAAGCTGGAGAGCAACAAGCAAGCCAAATTGGACCATGCAGTTGCAGGAGAAGGTCCTCATAAATCACTTGGTCTTTACTAACATCAAAACTTGAACCAAAACTTCAAAACTTATATATTTTTTTCAAGTTGTAAAAGTCTCTCCAAATGACGTATACAGTTTGGCTCTGTGGTATCTTTCATTTTTTTTTTTTTTTTTGCCTTTTTCAGTGTGTTCACTTTATTTCAGGGCCGTGGGGTTCTTTGTTTGTGGCTAAATATCATATATTCTAATTAGCTACATTCCATGTTTACTCAATAACACACACTTGCTCTTGTTACTTTTATAAGTATTTATTTAGGTGTGGATGCCCTTGCCAAATGTTTTTGTTTTTGTGACTTCTAGATTGCAAATAATCAAATAGCAGATTTGTCAATACTTCAAATAAGTAGCCTGAATTAACTCTAAATATATTTTTCGTGACATATCAGAGATTATAGATATGGACCTACAAACAAGTTTACTCCAAGAATATCTTTAATTTTTAGTCAAATCTAAAAAGAATGATATTATTTTATATTTAATTTTTTTTTTTACCTTCAAACTTCTCATTTATCCTTGTGATATATTCTTATCACCATAAATATTTCACTTTATAACGACCACAAGCAATGACGGATCTACATGGAGAGTTGTGGGTGCTCAAGCAACCATGGTCTTTATTCAGATTTAATATAGTTACATAGGCAACTAGCAAAAAAAATATCGCCTGAGCACCTATAGCTAAATTCTTTACCGTCTTCTTTTGGAACTCTTTTCAACAAGTAGTTGTGACTTTGAAATCTTGGATCCGCCATACCACAAGTTCTAATGAATTTTTGGTATCCACAAAAGGCTTTTTTTGAGCTTCATGATGCCTAGTGAAATTAAACACCGCCACAAAAATGAAATATAGAAATTTTGAGGTATAGCATAGCTGGTTAAGACATCAAGTCACGTATTCGGTACCAGAGGCGGATGGAGCTAACAAACTTCAATAAATATTATATTTTGAACCCGTAATTATAGAAGTACAACGGGGTTTCAGTTATAAAAGCATAAATATTTAATCCATAAAAATGAAATTTTTGAATCCTCCTGTGGTCATAGCCTGTTTGGCCAAACTTCTAAAATCAACTTATTTTGAAAAATATTTTTTCCGAAAATGCTTTTTAAAAAAATACTTTTGATGAGATTTGGCTAATTAATCTTAAAAGATCATTTCACCAATAATTAGTGTTTGGGCAAGCTTTTAAAAAGTTGTTCAAATTGTATTTTTCTCGAAAGTGCTTTTGGAGAAGCAACTTTTTCTGCTTCTCAAAAACTGCTTCTACTTCTAATTAGTGTTTCTTCGCTTTAGAGAAGCTTAGCCAAATAGACTATTAATCCTTTGTGAAGGTCATTGCTCTTAACCTATCTTTATCCTAAATTAAATTGTACAACCATATTTAAAATGTCACGGAGATGACTGTATATGCATGAAAGTGAGCACACACAGAGAGAGATAGATAGAGCATGTGATGTGATAGTAACAGTTCAGGTCATGCTCATTTGCCATTGCCAGAGAGAAGACGACAGAAAATTAACAAATCAAGCTAAGAAACCGAGACCTCTATTTCACCGAATTTAATGCTCCTGCCAAACATATGAAAACCCTTGTCATGAAACATAAACAAAACTATAGCAGCTTTAAACGAAAGGTCTTCTTGATTTGTTTGTTGCCAGCATTTATCACGCACGCTACTACTACTACATGGTATTTCCCAACATTCTCCTCAATTTTACTCTGAAGCATATTCCTTTCCTCCCTTCCTCTTCAATTTCCTTTTTCTTAATCTATAAATATAATTTTATAGTATTTAAAAAAAGCGGAATTATGATGGAGAGTATGGGTGTCTAACGGGTGGGCCGGGCCGGGTTGGGTAGGAAAATTTAGTAACCTTACGGGTTATGATCCGGGCCGGTTACGGGTTGGGGCATACTGGGTTTAACGGGTTCGGGTTCATCCGGGTAAAAATTGAAACGTAAGGGTTACGGTTTCAACGGGCCGGGCCGGGCCGGGTAAGTGTTATTTTTAATTTTTTTTTTTTTTGTATTTTGTATAACTATTATAAGTTATATTAATATAAAGTAAAAATATAAAATATACAATGAAGATGGGAAAAAATTGCACTTATAAATTGCAAGTGCTACATTTATTTCAAAACTCAAACTTACAAATTGAAAGGTTTACATTTAACAACAAGTAAATTAACAAAAAAAGAGTAAATTCAAACTTTCAAAGGTTTTGCATTGCCTTAGTAAGTTCGTCATAATCAATATGAACTGAGTGGCCTTCTTCTGGAGTGTTAAATTCGGATGGGTTACTGATCACGCCCAACTATGCCTTATAAAAGACAAAGCGGTCGTTGCAAATATAATCCGGTTTTTAAGTCCGGAGTCGAATCCTCAAAGAACTAACCTATCTATTACAACTCTCAGTGATATTATTATCAGCTCAAACAATTTCCAGACGCAAGATTTTTATCAATAAATATTGGATTTTTGTTTAACTAATTCAAAATGATATTAAAACTAACAATATGCTAAATTAAGATAATTCAATGGTAAAAAGGTCTGGGGTATTGATTTCCCCAATTGCTAGTTTAGGTCTTAACTCTTTTGCTATAATCTCCCTGTATTACCCTATGAGGATATGAGCTATGGGCTATTGCAATTATCTCTCGATCAACTACAATAATTTACTAGAGCATTCTCTCGAACTACTCTAGCTGATAGTTTATGCAGCTCAGAATTATCCCACCAAAGTTTCGTTATCACTAACCCCACTTTTAAGTTCAAGTAATGAATCTCTTCACTTACCCAAAAGTGGTGTTGTTCAACAGCAGTCTAACCTAGTATTCTTTCTCAAGCAACACAAGGCAATTAGACACGATTAATCAAGGGCCCTTTTAATTAATCACCATACACAACATAGTTGAACAATCGAATAATAAACCAGGCTCGATTATACCCAAATTGAGTCAAAACTTCATCCAATAATTGGTTCCATCAACCCTAGATCAAAATATTTAGCTACTCATAACAAAGCAAGATAAAACTACAAAAGTATTCATAATGTGCAATTGAAATAATAAAGAGAAGATAGAAAAAAACTCTAATGATTGGTTGCTCTTCTCACACTTGTTCTAGCCTCCAAATCAATCTAAAAACAAGCTTAAAAACTTTCTTGGGCAAGTTTCTTGAGCTTATAAGGGTTTGGAATAAGTTCCCCTCGATTTACACTTTAGTCCCAAAAGTTCTGGGCGGTTACATAATCCACCGCGGCGGCGGCAAAACACGGCGCGACCGCGGTGAAATAGAAACATTCTGCCTCGCTTCATTAGCCCACCGCGGTCCAGCCGTGTTCGACCGCGGTCGCGGTAGCTTCAAATCTGTTCCTCATTGCTTCTTTCTTGCTTATTTTCGCTCGGGGTCTTCTTGATTGGCTTTTTATCCACCTTCTTGATTCCAAAATACTCCATAGGCTCTTCCTAACTTGGATTAGTCCCTGCGAAGCAAAAGAACACCAAATAGAGTATCTTGTTATCATTTAGCTTTTAAAATCACAATAAAGCATGGCAAAATTGGAGTGTAAATAACATTTATATAGCCTATTATCAACACCCCACACTTAAATCATTGCTAGTCCTCGAGCAATCCACCACACTCTATTAGAATTCCTTCCCTAAGCTTTTCCCTTAACATATCACACCAAGAACAACTCACCAAAGCAATATTCGTACTTACTCAAACTACTCTATACAGAAGTCAAGACTTACCTTTCCTTCGTGAATCACATGCCCTTACATCACACAAGAGAGTAGTTCCACAAATAAATTTATTAAGAGCAACTAGGAACTCAGATAGACAAAATTCACTCACTCTCAAAAAGAACATTCACATGCCACAAAGATTCACCATAGGCTTGCCCGTAGTGTACTACTCTACTAATCGAGCCTATTTAGTCTAAGATTAATTAGGACTTCACTTGGTTGTAATGTAGGCTAAGGGATGGGTAGGATATATTTGGATATAGTGACTAACCTCCCTAAGAACTTTTAATACAATCACATTAACCTTCAAAATCATACTTATGTCAACCAGACGTTCCACCATATTTTTATTTATAACATCCCATTTCTTTAGGTGCATTTGTATCAAGCCACCACTTATCAACTACTACATTTATTCAGTCCCCCTTTTTTTTTAAGTGGTGCTTCTTCTTTTACTTTTCCAAAAAATTGCACCTTTCCTCTATTTCATTGGTTCCACTCAAAAACCAAACCACCACCCCACACTTTAGCTTTTGCATATTTCAAGGCCATTCAAGTTCTCATGGGAGGTAAAAGGGTTCAAACAGATGGCTATTCAAACAATTGGGTAAGGTTCGCAATGTGGTTGCCAAAGAAACAGGCTTATAGGCTCAACGGGATTGACTACGACGTATTACATTTAGGTGGGTCTACTTAATATATCTGGCTTAACAAAGAAATGCCTATATCACTTCTAAGACTGAATGAAGCTACTATTTTGCTTTGCAAACACACAGGGCAAGTTCTAGGCATCAAATGTAAAGCATAGAATACAGTACAACTCACACAGACATGGCACATGACTCACTCCAGATTGGCTTATCAAGACACTCTCTCTTGAGTGTTCAAGTCAGTTACAAACATACAATTTAAGGCACTTTAGCAAGAGTCAACCACTGAGACTAAGCGTTACACTCTAGTGTCTATTGTGTTCAGGTGTATTAACGCCAAGGGTTTCTCTTTCTACTTCAGCTCGTAGCCCATCAATACTAACTAAAATCTAAAAACAAAATAAACAAAAAACTACCTACACCCGGTTCAAGCTAAACCCTTGGAAAAGAACCGTGGCCCAAAGAAAAACCAAGGGGGAGTTACTACACTACCTAAAAAAAAAATTGGTATTTTCTTTAGACTTACTTCCCTCAAGAAAACTGTCTAAAAGATCCGTCATCAGGAAGAGTCCTTATATATATATATATATATATATATATATATATATATATATATATATATATATATATATATATATATATATATATATATNATATATTTTCGACTTTTATCCCTCAAGAAACCTGTCGAGAGGTGTCCATCTTCGGGCCAAGTCGAAGCTAACTAACATGACCCAACAATACCAAGCAAACAAAAAGAAAACAACATCATACAAAGTTATACAGTCTTTTTACAACAACAGCCATCCCCCACCCCACACTTAAAACTATGGCATGTCCCCATGTCAAC